TTGGCATCAGTCAAACTGGTTGTGTTAGTATGAAACTAGTTGTGTTAGTATCAGTCCATTTCTTAAAGCGTGTTGACATCAGTCAAACTGGTTGTGTTAGTATAAAACTGGATGTGTTGACATCAGTCAAACTGGTTGTGTTAGTACCATACTGGTTGTGTCAGCATCAGTCAAACTGGTTGTGTCAGCCAAACTAGTGCCATGGCTTCTGCTCTGTCCGGGCTAAGCTACGTCCGGAACATGTCTGATAGTGATTTCCGCAACGTTATTCGCCGATAAGAGATAGTGCAAAACGGGTCGGCGATAACGTTATTGACATTTAATGCTGCCTGTCTCTCGGAAACCGTCAGAGAAGAGACACGCTCAGATAACTACCATTGCTTTGCTTCACATGAAGGCCCCCAATGCAACTTTAATATCTCACGTGTACATGACAACGGCCTTCGCTGTTTAATTGTTGTCGTTGAAACGTTGTGAGTAGCTGGACGCATATCCGCCGTTAATCGTTCTTACAACATGTCATGCACAGCACGTGATACTAGCGTTTCCAAGGTAACTAAACGAAAACGCAGTCAAGCAGTTAATTTCTACCACTTTATCTCGACTGTTGTCACTCGTGCTCGCCTCTCTGGATTTCGGGACTGATTACGACATTTCGTCCTGCCGTAATTCGGAAAGTGCTTCCTGTCACGTGATCACCAAGTGGAAATAATCAGTCGATGAGGTTTACCCAGTGGCTCAAGTGGTAGTGGCTCGCCTTTGTTTGACGCTGAGCGCATTAGTTTGGGATGTGACCCTCCCTGCATTATTAATTATTTAATGGAGAGCTGCTTTATTAATATCACATGTTTCAAACCCAAGAGAAATATCGAAAAATTCTGTATTAACAATCTTCAGTCATGCAACTTGTATCTTTGCTTTAAATTCGGCATGCGAACATGGCATCTTCTTGATAATATTTGTTTGGAATATCTATCCGAGTGAACGGGACACTGTGATTGACGTTGAATTGACGGTCTAAGCATACAAGTAATATATAAAATTGTTGCTCCTTTAAGACATACATCATGCATCGCAAATCATTATCCTAAAAGCTTTACCGAAGAGCCTTTAGCCAAATTTTGTTAATTTCCATGCTAATAACCGATATGTTTTGCGTCGCCGCCATTTGAAAGGTTACATTGGCAATAAATACGATAAAATAGAGCAATTATAAATCGGTCAAGCGTCAGTTGTACTGGCACAGGGTGTTGATTGACCGAAGGGGCAATCATGACGGGATTTAGGCACCGCGGGCGTAGACGCCTCGACGCCAGTGTTGGCGTGAATTGTGACGTATATAGGTAGCTGGAGAGAGATGTTACTCCGACGCCAAAAGGGGCTTCTTCCTACACGACTTCCCATTCTGTCGAAACCAGGCATAAATCAACCGTTTTGATGCTGGGCGACTCTCGGCGACCAGCGCGGGCTGAAGGTGTCGCATCGCCACATAAAGCAGCGAGCGGCGTTCTAATCAACCGTCTCGCAGGCGTTGACGGGGACGATAGTGTCTTCCGTTCGATATGCGGGTCATACAACAGCGGGCGGCTGACGGTAGATGGCGCTCGCACACGTTCCGCACGCGCATGATCGACGTTAACATTGGCCATGGCTAGGGTAAGATTGGCGCAGTTTGGACGGGGTAATAGGAAATATCGACAACGTCGCAGGCCGTCTTTGTTTGCCTCTCCGGTAACAGCAATCTGATGGGGACCATCTCCTGCGATCTGGCAACCTCTTCCGCCTGTGTGATTTCTTGAACGTGTCTCTCCGTCTCCTGAGACCGGCACTCCTTCCCGTCCTAGAAATTTGATTACAGGGGGCAGAACGGCAAGGTTGTGGATGACGCCCAAACAAAAGCTAGCACTTAGCGCCGTGCTTCTGGCGAGGTCCTTAAAAGTTGCCTAAACACCGCCTTCGATCTCTATCCACGGTGAATCATATGTGAAGGACACCCCCCCACCCCCACCCCGAAACCTGCACCTGATGTCCAATAAATAACATGGCGCTATGCGTTATGTTTTGTGTTGTAGGCGAGATACGTACATGTATACAGTTACGTGTAAATACTTTTGTTTGGGACAAAGACGTGTCGGTGAGACATCCAATATATCACACATACGTATCATAAATAATTGACGGGGATAAATTATGTTGTGTGGCTTTTTTCGCTCAATGTTCTGACGGGGAGTTGAGGTTATGCACCGGCGTTGGGGTTAAAGCCTTTCCCCTCCCCTTCCCCAATCTACATTCTGGGTAGGGACGAGTCCCACATGTCTCATGCTCTGCGTTGTGAAGGGTCTTCACTGACGGCTGCGGAACGAAGGCAAAACAAATAAACCTTGTTCAAGGCGACTGGATTCAGACATTTACTCTCGCGAAGAAGACTATACCTAAAACCACGGGGTGCTTCAGCGCGAGAGCTCCCTCTGTAAGCTGTTTTGTCACGAACTAGGGGATTTTGCAAGCGCCGTCTCCCGACCTTTTTGTTAGGGAGTGGTTCGCGAGCGGATAGGGCTTAGCTGCGCGCTGAGACACCGAGGTTGTTCGAGACCCGCTTACGCCCAGTTTATAATGATCCCAATTGGAAAAGCTTGCCTTTAATGGCCTACGGGTGACGGAGCCGCCTCCTTCTGTAGGTGTGGCACAGGAGCGAGGTCAACCCGGTTTAATAGCGGATTAATAAGCAGCATTTGCGGCCCTCATTACACGGCGATACCCCACACGTGAAGCTGCTCCTAAATGAGGACATGCTGCCGCCGCAGCCCGTCTGTAGCACCTGAAGACGAAGCTGAAGTAGCCGGGAGGCGCTTGGGCCGCAGTTGGAACAAGCAGTGACTCATTTTTTTTATGGCCAGTAGGCTGAATAATTCCTCGTACATCCCATGTATACGATGTTTACCGAACGATTTCCTCATGCATTCAGCTTTGATCGGTAATTGCATTCCAATCTGTTTCATCCAGTCACTTCCGATTAATCAGAACAATTGTACGACGTTTAGATGTACAGAGCTATACTATTCCAGCGTTTGTTTTTACAAGTGAATATTTGTACACTTCTAACGTGAAATTAATATCAAGAAAATCGTTACGTATTGATATTAAAATAACCTTTGATGGGTTTTATATGATTTAATTCCGGACGTGAAGCTCCGGGTTTCTGCATGTATAATCGCTGTTACACAGACGAAGGTAGCCTAAGCAGATTAAAGGCAATTCCACGTTTTGTCAGCTTCGCACAAGACGCTGAACGGACACTGATCTTCACACTAACAACCAGCTGTGATCTCGTATTCTCAAAGGAGATAAGTCCCGCCTTGCGGATAGTGTTTCTCAAACGCCGTGGGGATCACCCCACCTTAGAAATCTTTGGCATCGTAAAGATAAAACGAACGCCGATCAAGCTTCCCTCGACAACAGGACAAATCCAGCCCCGGTAGGACACCCGAGAGGACCGCACCGCTAGTCACGTACGCTGATAAGCCGTCAGCCGCGGCTAGAGAGGGGGATAAGAAGCTTAGCGAAAAATATCTTTCCAATAGTTTCGTTTTGACGCATAGCTGAGTGCCCCGCTTGGGGTATCCAAGCGTCTAGTCGGCCTATATCAACTCTGGCAGGCGTTCCGTCAAGACGAACCCGGCCTTTTGTCACCCCCACGCGTCCGGGGTTCGGAGATAGCGGGAGGTCTTACCGAGGGGTCATGACGGCGAGACAAACGCACAGATAAAGAGCCCCATAATTTACTGGGAAGACGACAGGTGAGGAGATACGGGCGCCCAAGTCGTTCCTATCGGCGGGGATTGGTCTCGCATTTCCTTCTCACCTTTGCCGAGGGAGACGTTCAAATACATATCAACCCTCCAATGCTGTTGGAGATTAATGTTTAGCTAACGTTTGCTCTATGCAAGGAAGATTAAGTTACCGTTTAGCCCGCATTGTTGTATTGGCAATTTTGTTTGATTTGGCCAGATCGGATGTATTCAGACCTATGCTGCAAATTTAGCGGTATACTAGCCAAGAGATAAAAATATTCTTAATGATTGAATGCGAAATAAGAGCTATTGCATGTTACCGAGAAATGACATAAAGTTTAGATGTACATGAAAGCAAATTTAAAATTATAGTAGTTTAATTCAACAATCGGCCCAAGATGCAGCCAAACTCGCTTTTCTGAAGTCGCATGGCGTCACGAATCCTCTTAAAACACCATATTCGCCAGCGCATGAGCGTGCATCAAATTCTTGATCGATACAATTTTTTATAAAGTCATTTTTAAAGTAGTAACCAGATATCTTGCTGAAAAGACATCCATGCTGAATGCGAACAGCTGAAGAGAATGAAAAACGGCGAACATGTGATCAATATCGCCGCGTGGCGACTGTACACAAGTATCGGCAGCGCATCGACCTGGCGTTTTACGTTATACTGTTGTCCTCGTGCATTTTGAGAATTCACACACAGTTCTGTACTTTGAGCGAGGAAATCGAAGCTCCGCGCAAACCTCCAGGGAATGCCCACCATGAAAGTTGGGCATTTTTAGCAAACGCCTTCAAAACTGATCCTATCCATCTAATTCTCAGGTGTCGTTTTTATATGAATTCAATTTTTATATCATTTAGAAAACAGGCTATGTTCGTTACATGTTTGCAGTATGGATCGCTTCGGCGTCCCAAGGCTATTAACCGCTACATGTGTTGTCTACGTGTTAAAACACAAAACGCCTAGTGTGAAAATTATATCGCTTGTAAATGTTTACCTCTTTCGTATCAAACCGCCGCCAACACGGTGCCCTTACAGACCCCGACGTCGCCATCTAGCGGCGGCTGACGTCATGGGAAGGGCGGTAACTCTAAACCTCTTTAACGCTTGAGCGTCACACAGATCAATCTTCCGTTTTGTTTCCACGTGGTGGAAGTACTTATTATCGTCCCAGGTGTTTCATGTTTGTCCCCTCCTTGCAGACGCGGTGTCGGACTGGAGAGAAGCGCAAAACGCCCTCCACTCAGGAAAAGAAAGTCAAGAAATCATCTGGGGCCGTGGAGCATCACGCAAATGGCGCTTTCAAACCCGTGGATCGTTGTCGACCGACTGAAGGGGCCAAACCTCCATCAGGTGTGGAGGGTAAACTGCCCCAGGATCAGAACCTCCCCAACACCAGTGGGAAGAAGGCAACAGAGAAACACTGCAGGTAGAATAATTGATGAAGCTTATAATACATTTCTGTGCCAAAATTTCAATCAGTTTTGACATGTTCCGAATCCTGAAAAAGAACTTAAGATGTACGTGTTCATGCATTCATGCATGGCTGTTCTCTCTCATGAGGAACTTATTATGTTCTAGATTAGAAAACCATAGGTGCACATTAGCTTTTCGCGTGTTGTAGTTGAAAGGAAACCTCGTTAGACTCGTTAATCTGCTGATGGTATGTCGCAGCGCCTCAACTATATATGACGGTGCTCGTAATACTAACCACTGGTTTGTCAGGCCACCTACACTAGATTGTTTACAGACTCCCGTAAAAAGGTTAGACAATTGCGAACTGCTAGGTATAACAACAACTCGTTTTCAGAAACTTTCTTACCCCGTTGTTTATTTGGCGCTGTATGATCGTGATATTGCTGATGAAACGATTTGTCTAACTGTCTCATTCACCAGGTCGTATTATCAAACACTTTAATCTGTTTTTCAGCCCCTTGAAGGAGTCCACGTCAACAAATGTCATAGACGCACCCAAGAGTCAACAGTGTGAAAGACTGATCGAATCGGAAGTTCAGACCTTGAAGAAGGTCAAAGTTCAAGGTCAAGTTCACGTCGATTCGATCATCTCAGTACCGAAGATTCCAGTTATTGAAAACGTACCTGAAGTAGTTTCATTACCACCTACTGAGACACGTGCTTCAACACTACCAGTTAAAGGTATTTAACTTGATTATATTTCGGTTAGAGCTTCCTGAAAACATGTCCGATTTCGGTGGTTAAACTTTCATCTTACAATGTTTTTATTGTGTAATTAGTGAGATGTGGAATTTGGACTGACCTTGGTCCTGAGTTTTTGTTTTATAATATTATTTTCAAAGTTACATTACCTATATTCGCCATTACTTTTATGTTTTAGAGGTCATCAAAAGTGATGAGCCGCCGCCACCAAAGTGTGAACAAAGCGCTGAACTACCCGAGGTCAAATACAATGAACCCGTGTCAACGCCTCTACCACCAGAGGTCAAGGTCGAGGTCAAGGTTAAAGTGGAACCGAAACCGACAGCACCGTGCCCGGAGCCTTGTGTCAGCGACGTATCATGTTCTGACATCAATGTTACAGAGTCTGTGTGTGTGACGGACAGTGTAGACGTTTCCGTCAAAGTGGAAAGCGAAAAGACAGAGACACTTCCACGAAGTGCAATGCCTGTCCCAATGGAGGCAAACGATGTAAATATTTCAAGCGACGCCCAACCGTCCTCGCCCTGCTCATCTAGTTGCCCCTCGTCACCGGAGCCAACCGGAGACTCGGAAATCTGCCAAAGGACGCTGCCAATGTGCCCCAAAAATTCAAAATCCCATTCCGTCAAAGCAGCAGAGAGACATGTCGAACATGCGAGTGCGTCATCATCACACGGGAAAGAACCCGAAAAGTGCAAGGAAAGTGTTAAACCTAAGACTCACGTCACGCACGAGACGAAACACAAAGTGGCAGACGAGCATATTCCCAAGTGCAGCAAGAGGGAACAAGAGAAGGCGTCACCACGGTCGATACAAGACTCTCGGACGACAAATGAAGTCGCACAAATTCGACAACCAGAAACTGGCGACGCCGCCTTCAGCGACTACATGAGACTTCTGGCTGCCGGCCACGGGCCTCAGATGTTGTAAGTTTTCACTAATTTGAACGTCAGTGTCAGGCACAGATAAATCGTGTTTCAGTGTCGTAATATTTCATGTCCTTGCAAAGCTAAAAAAAACCTGTTTAAGATTTTTTTCATATATTCAGAAATGTGTATATCGTGACATTAGAAAACATAAATCGTGTTTTCAATGTCTTAATATTTCATGTCCCTTGAAATCTGTAAAGAATGTTTTTTTTCAAAAAGTGTTTAAAAAGACGTTTTTCAAATGTACTAAACTTTGCATGACATGACACTGCAAGAAGGCTTTGGTGATATTTGGTGGTCATTACCAGGAACAATGCTTTGTCTTTCAGGCATCAGCCCCCGTCAGGAATGGAACCGATGTATGACATGAGGCCGCCTCAAATTCACGTCAATCCTGCAATGCTTCATCCGCTCCACGCATGCTCAATGTACAGCCACCCTGGAATGGTCCAGAAAGAACCGGTGTTATACCCAACAACGGCAGGTGCATTACCTGCTAATATCGGGGCGCCATGTTTTGCCCCAATGCATATGATGCCGCCTAGGGTTCAATACACGGTTCCCCAACCACCCATGGTGGACATGTCTCGATCTCTCCAATATTTACCGTTACCCGGAAGTGTTCCGTATCACTGTGGAACTATGGGAGGACTTAAACGAGGGAACGTTGAAATGGAGACAGCTTCCGCCTTGGATTTATCTACATCTAAAAGACTACGTTTAGAGTATCCTGCGCCAGATTACAGGTTGGACACGTTGCCTGTTTGTCATGGATTCCAACCATATGGATACGATTATTCCAGAAGTTTGAGTGATGAGCTGTCACGGAAAATGTACGCAGAGGAAGGTTTTAAGCCGACCGGAAGTTTAGACTTTAAACCCTACACCCCATCTTGGATGGACCACGCTGGGAAATCTGTTCTTCACAGGTGTACGTGTGCTGAAAGCAGGCCCGGCGACATCCGTTTTTGGTCTGTTGAAGATGTGTGTAGATTCATCAGTATGCTGGACGGATGCAGCTTATACGCCGAGGTAAGGATACATAATTACATCTTTGAAGGAATTATTTGCGTTCCGGGGCCCATGGCCTTGAAGCTAAAGACTATTTATATCTCGTATAAATTGAGTTTAAAACGAGGGTTATATTACAGTTTTAGTCATGAAGTGATAAATAGGTTTCGGCAGTTACTGAATAATTGCCAGCCTTATTGCGACAAACCAGTATCGATCCGCAGTCCACCAGACGACCGTAGATCTGGAACGAAAGTAGACGTAACACTAGTACGACCTGGTTATTATCCGTTCTCTCCAAACTGTGGTCACGACAGTAACGAATCGACCATCATTTAAGCCGTCACACGTCTACTGGGAATACCGTGTCACAAGTAGTTGTGCCGCAAGTATCACTTACCACAGAGACCTTTCCACCTAAGCATAGTCGCGACTAGTTGTGTAGATGCTATTATTTATCATCACCGCGGGCTTGACAGACAGACCGTTGGATGGATAGCGCTTTAACACGTGCTGCCGCAGCGCGCTACCAGAACCAGATTAATCTTGATGCCACAATGAATATTGTCAACCCTAGTTAGTGGGGAAATGACAATAGCTTAGCGATACCCAGACGTAAAGCGAGACAGACCACGACGACATTGAGCGTTTATATTGCCGCGTCTAGAAACCGACGACCCTTCCATATTACCCGAGACCTGTGACAGTATGTATCATAAGGTCTTTCGTAGTAAGAAATATTCAGATTTTGATATCTATTTCAATAATAGTTCTCTATTTAAGAGAATGAGGTTGTAATCCCATTTAATCTTGACAATTTATTAAAATAAGGAAGTAATTTGAATTAATCTATTTTGTTGAATCTGAGGAGTGGTTCAGATTACCCGCGTTTATTTATTAAGACACTATTCTATATCCGACCTCCTGGATTTATTAATATTAAATTACACGATGGTTATATCTGTCCTATAGGCCTAGTTAGACACGACGGTGATGTCTGTAATCATGGATGTATTAACACTTTATTTCACAAACCTATAACTAACGATTACATCTGTATATTGGGTTTAAGGGACTGAAATGAAACAACACATAATAAGGACATATTTAATCAGTTATGACGCAGGTCTACTAAAATTTTTAGTGTTTCGTTTTTATTTTGAATTGCTCAAATATAATGCAAAAAATAATTAAATTATTTTGTTCCAGAATTTCCGAGAGCAGAGAGTAGATGGAAAAATACTGCCTTTACTAACAACAGACCACCTCATGAAAAATCTTGGCATGAAGCTTGGGCCAGCCCTCCTTGTGTCAGAAGCTGTTGCCAAGAAGGTTCAGGAAGCTAGCAAATTCCCCGGATGTGACAACTGCCGGAAACTGATTCTTGGTGCTAGCTAGGCGCATGCGCACATTATTGACAATGCATTGACTTGAAGTTGAGAGGAACTTCGAATAAGACTTTCCCAATGGACAAACAGTGCTCTTCATCTGCAGAACAATTGTGATATAAGTTATTCATGATAATCTAACTCTCGTTCTCCGTTCCTTGGGAGAATTCGATAATGTGTTCGTCAGCACGAACGAGTATTCGTTTTGTGATCGTTGAGTTTTGAGATGTGTTGTGCCGTTTAATGTTTTGTGCACGAACTTTTGTACTGTCTTATGTAGAGAGGTATGTCAACACATGCTGGATTTTATAAAGAAATTTCTCATGGTATTCATTTGTTCTGTTGTGTAACAAAGATCATATACAAATTGGTACATGGTCTCTGTGGACCGCCTCCGTGGTGTAGTGGTTAGAGCGTCCGCCCGGAGAGCGGAAGGTCGCGGGTTCGATCCCCGACCGCGTCATACCAAAAGACGTTAAAATATGGTACTTGTTGGTCCCTGCCTGGCGCTCGGCATTACTGGGTACAACAAGGACTTGTCGGCTCGGAGACAGTATAATGTGTCTGAGAGGGGTATTCATGCTCCACTGCGGCATGGTATCTCAGTGAGCTAGCACTATAAAACCAGCTTAAGTCTGGGCTAGTACAAGCAGCCGCACATACACAGATACACACGCATGCACGTCGTCATATGAGCGAAATATTCTCAAGCACGACGTTAAACCCAATTTCACCTTACCTCACATGGTCTCTGTGTGTACCATGAAGACACACTACCAGTTCTTGCATGCATTGGTAAGTTGAAAATGATTGCTGTGGATGCTGTGAAACCGAGTCAAATCGAACATGCCTTTTGTGTAATTTACGTGAAGTTGAACGTGTAGACAGTGAAGCTACTTTACATCGAACACGGATGCAGTTACAGCACGTGAAGACGATCGTTTGTTCAGCAAAACTACGTCAAGTCGAACAGGCGGAACGTGTTAGCTACGTAAACGACGAACGTGTTTTCAGTAAAACCACGTCAAGTCGATCAGGCGGATAGTGTTAGCTACGTCAAAGACGAACGTGTGTTCAGTAAAACCACGTCATGTCGATCAGGCGGATAGTGTTAGCTACGTCAAAGACGAACGTGTGTTCAGTAAAACCACGTCAAGTCGAACAGGCGGATAGCTACGTAAAGTCAAACACGGATACAGTTTAACATATGTTATATTTGGGATTCCACTTTCTCAGTGAAGTACAGATTCATGTACTTTTGTTAGGGTGAGTCCCATCCGGGATTCGAACCCACACTCTCAGAGTCAGGCACGTAACCGCCAGCACACAAAGTCAACTATCTAACCTTCAGTCGCAGTACAATATGCACTTTACTAAAAAAGTGTAATCACAAATATAACATGTTACACTTGACCTCCTTCTAAACGACATTGTGTATTCACGGATACAGTTAAACCACCCATAGTCGAAGATTATGAAAGAATTAGCGTTGACACTGACCACACCTGCTAGTCGAACACTTTGGGTAACTCGAAATATACGATCCCCAGCTCTTCGAGATAATGAAATTTATTCTTACAAGAAACAACTTCAACGTGTCTTGAATAATTCCTGATATCGGTTGTTTTATCTCTATAAAAGATAGTTTGTTTCAATATTGAGCTGATTGTGGCCATGAATGGATTTGCAACACAAATAATATATTTGCAAATTTCTGTTAGCATGAAGATCAAAACAAATACTGCTTGGCAGTTCCGGAAGTGTCGGTTTTGAGCCTGGTAATTTCATTTCCGATTCTGATATTTTAATGTCTGTGCAGTTTGTCACAGCTACTACTACATCGATCTACGCGTATAGGGAACATTTTAAACCACTACCTTATATCAGAGGTCTAACATCGAACGGTTAGGGATTACAATGGACGTTCGATCGTTCAGTATATTTGTCTTCGGCTGAGACGAGAGTGCGCTGTATGGTGTTCTATACTCCAAAAATCAAAGGAGTAATGCTTTCACAAGAAGGCAAAACGTATTCATCAAAGTTCGATCTTTGAACACAAACGATGTCTCCGTAACGTTGAACCGACATCTCAAGGAATATAGGAGACGGCCTCCGTGGTCCAGTGGACAGGTGGAACCGAAAGTCAGTAGTGATACACACTGGCGGCGTCGTACTAGGTAATACTTTTTGTTACCCTGCCTGGTGCTCGCCATTGAGGGGATGAAACATGGACTAACCGTCTCTGAGTCCGCATTATGAGTGAGTGGATATTTTTTACATCGCTTTTAGCAATATTCCAACAATATCACGGTAAGGGACACCTAAATTGGGTTTTACATATTTTACAAATGTGGGAATCGAACCCGAGGTTTCGGCGTGACGAGCGAACGTTTTAACCACTAGGCTACCCAACCGCCCAAGTCAGCATCATGCGCCTCAATGGAGTATCCGAGTTGAACTGCCGCAGGTATCCAAGTGTGTTAGCATGCCAACACGTCCCAATGTAAGTGTAGCAATCGTAAACGCGAGGTAAACCCAATAGTTCCCATCTCGTCCGATATCGGGATGCAGTGACACGCCTGCCTGGGCAGCCAACATTCATTAGTTACCCGTCGACTTTGTCTCTGAGTGAAGCGAACGGTAGTCTGACCCGGCATATCATTAACATTAGCCCAGGGCACGAACAACCTCGAAGGACCGTCGAGATAGTTTCGGATACGTCACGCATTCAGTCGTCGACACGTACCTTTCCGTGATCAGGATGCACAACATCTGAAACGTATGAGAAACCATCAGATACCAGTTTTCCTCAACTTGAGGTACTGGATACGTTATTGCCATAGAATTCCAGCGGATGACAATACAAGCATTGGGTATACGCCATGTTGACATCCTGTCCTCGATACATGACAGCGACACCTGCAGGCCTGCACACCTGTACACCTCCTTGTAGTGAAGCTGAAGGGAAAACGGAGACATATTTGTGACAATGTGATAGCATAACACATTTACGACTATCAAGAGGTGGCAGGGAAAAGTGTTTAAAACGTTCGCAAACACGGCATAAACCTCGTTCACTCACTCACTAATTCACAACCTATCAGAATACGCAGCAACACACCTGAATAATGATTAGAAGGATCTTTATCGCTGACAGACCAACAAGATGAAGTGGCATGAACGCTGTCCAGATGCTTCGACAATCTGTTAAGTCACATGGTGGAGCGTCTTCATCTTGTCGGTTTTTAGACTATAAAGTATCAGCTTCTACATTTGTGAAGAGACGGCGAGCAGCGTCGCCCACAGTGGTCGTGTACGTGATCACCACACAGGCCACAGGCGTAGCTCAGGCCAACTGGGGTGGTGGGGTAGCCTAGTGGTTAAAGCGTTCTCTCGTCACGCCGAAGATCCGGGTTCGATTCTCCACATGGGTACAATGTGTGCAGCCCATTTCTTGTGTCCCCCGCCGTGATATTGCTGGAATATTGCTGAAAGCGGCGTAAAACTAAACTCGCTCACTCAGGCCAACTGGTCTGCTGCCCGTTATTTCACAAGCCGCTGTGACCAAACTTGATCATTGCTTACTGGGCAAAAGGTCTTGCATATTTTGTGTGACAAAACGCATTGTTTTAGTTTGTTTATCCCCTCACTAAGAAATATTCCTGTCAATAATCAAGTCTTGACCATACATTCTAGTGACTCACACCATGAGGATTCATCTACGCAATTAGGAAACGATGACATGTGTCAACCAAGTCTGACCACCCGAACCCGTTAGTCGCCTCTCACGACATGCATAGGCTGAAGACCAATTCTAACCTGTATCTTCACGGATCGTGAACATTTTGATTTGATATGGAAATAAGCTACTCAAAACAAGGTTAAAACACTCACAATTCTAAAGCTGTGTGTACTATACATTGGCGTAGAACAGATGCGGGATTGATTTGTTTGCGGTTTGCCTTGAAATCAATCGTCTTGTCATTTTATCCACGGAGTGCGCCGAGTTGACCCGAACATCTCTCAGGGTATCACGTGGCCAACTACGTCAAGACAACAAGGTCTAACTCATGTACCCGGAGCGGCGGGTATGAAACGTAGTATTTCAGGCTAATGTTCACAGACTCCCCTGAAGGGACTGAGAATACATAGAATAGGAATTCGCGCACACAGAGCCACGGACAATGTTTGAAGTCACTCTATTCCACAGATGAAGTGAAATTAATAATATCAGGGAACGATGTCTGGTATCAAACATTCTTATCATGTTAGAAATTAATCCGGTTTCCCTTGGAAATGTACTGTAGCTGACCTCCCCTCGCTACTCTCACATCTTACGCCACAATCACAGACCTCCCCCTCGCTACCCTCACAACTGACGACACAAGCTCTGACCTCCCCTCGCTACCCTCCCCTCGCTACCCTCACAACTGACGCCACTATCACAGACCTCCCCCTCGCTACCCTCACAACTGACGCCACAATCTCTGACCACCCCCTCGCTACCCTCACAACTGACACCACGGGCGTCAGAGATAGTCTCCTTACCGGACAACACTGGACAGGCATATCTCTGCCAAAGCCCGTTGCCATGTCGGTCGGAATTTCTGTAGGTGTTGCAGGAACTCTGAGAGCGTAGACGTGTTGAAGGTGTAATTATCGGACGTTAAATGAGTGAATGGTGTTTTATTCGGCATCGACACTTTTTTCGCCATTAGAAGTAATTACGTTCCTGTGTAACAGCTGGGAACCGCCATTTATCCCAATGTTACAATAATCAACCTTCACCAGCGCAAAAACCACTGCTAGCGTTCCGGATTTCGTGACTTACTCTCACGTTCATGGGAGTCTTGTCGAGGTCCAATTCCTCAATAAAAAACATACCAACGGGATTTGTTGAAATATTACCTCCAAGACTGCAGTCCCACCCTACAAAGAATAACCATACATTGGGACCTTTGGCGCTTTTATAGGTAGAGTCGTGTTGTTTTGTCGCGGTGCAGTCATTTCCATTACATGCAGGGCGAACGCTAACTGTGATGTGAGCGCGCATTGCAGCTCTCAAACAGGCTGCGTTAGGTTTTACGTACTACCCAAACCACAGTTTCATGATGCATTGAGTAATGTCATGAATACAAATGTAATAAGTTTGAAACTTAACAATCCGAGTCGACATTTGGCGCCAAAGGAAATAGCTCAACGACCGTTGAAATTGAAGCGACGATACCATTTCCATAATCCACAATAATCTAGAAACAAAGCTGACTGTTCGATTCCGACCGTATCATACGCACGTTGGTATGAATCTTTTTCAAGGAGAGATGATACA